CTATGTATGTATTTAGTTTTAGCGTTTGTCCCGCTTTGAGGGCGTGAAATGCCGTGTCATTGTCCCTAATAAGTCATTGTCACGGCATTTCAATTGTCGCCCATAAGCATGAACCAGGCCACCAACTCACAAGCTTACATGCAACAACTAAAACCAGGCAATACTAGCTACGCAAGCACCTTTCCTTGGACAAGGCATCCTCCAATTGGCACGCGGTAAATTGACTTAGATTGTTTGCCCTGGCAAACTTATGTACTCCAAACTCATCCACTGGACGATGCTGGCTGTATTTCTTGCGTGGGCGATCTTGTCGCCGACGGGCGATGTTGTCCAGGGCGTTCCGGTCAAACTCGTAGGTGCCGACCTCATTACCGTTGTCCATGGACATTGTGTTGGAAGGAAGGTTAAGGTTCGGTTAAGGTACATTAAGGTTCAGATAAAATGAAGAAATGAAGAAGCTCTCCTTCATAGTATGGAGATGGTAGAATCTTCAAGCAACTGTTGCTGTTCACGGATGACCGGCCCTATTTGCCTACTACTAGGAGGAGGCGATTTCCATGATGGCGTAGTATTTTGAAAATCTGTTTGCATGATTTTGAAGGGTTTATAATTCTATAATATTGCAGTGCATTCGGTCCTGCAGGCGGGCCGTATTCTTGCAGTTCTGTGACGCGGCCTGTGGTCAAACATGAAGCACCCGAGCATGCCGCATGTAGCAAAACTGCATTGGATTTGAGGTCTACATAATCCTGGGTAATATTAAAATTATTTTGGTGCAACGGCCAACGTCTTTTTATGAGATGCGTTCGGACCGCGGGAAGTTGCGAGGCCCGCAGCTGAACTTTGTGGGTCGCGAGCATGAAAACAAGATATTGTTGTTACAAAGGCACTGCAATTTTGCTCTGTGACCCGACCAACGGTATTCGCACGTGCGTGTGCGTGTGCGTGTGCGTGTGCAGCCGCGTGCCAGAGGGCCCCTCACGTTCGTCCTGCTCCTTACACCCATGACACCTCCCACACAACGTATTGGGGGACGTGGTCACGATCATCACCATACATCCGATACGTCAAAAATCTTACTGCTGGTAGCAAATGCTCAGCGGAAACCCAGCACCGTACATCTGCGGTGACACAGCACCCCAACTCAGATCGAAGCAAGGAAGAACATTGTATTGTGTAACACAGCAAAGCCAAACGCTTTGGACGGCATATTTGTACGGAGATGTTCTCTGGTCCGTTGCATCTACTGTGCAGGAGAGCGCCTGCGAAACATGCCGCGCATGCGGAGCACACAAGGCAACAACAAAACGGAAAGGGCAAACCCTATGGCAGTCCGGAGACCTGTAACTCGTCAGGCTCAGTAGCTACGGGGCAGTTGTCTGGACAGGTTACTCGCCAGCTAGAAGCTTGGTAAATGTGCAACCTTGAAAGTGTCATAATTATGCACAGATATGCGCGCTGAGTGTGTGAAATGTTATGACGAGGTTAGTTAAAATGTTTGCCATCCAATTTGAGTGTGGGGAGGCATTATTTGTCCTGACGATTTGCTCTCTACCTACGGCCATTTGGCAGTCCAGAGACGTGTAGCGCCCAAGGCTCAGCAGCTACGGGACAGTTGTCTGGACGAGGTTATTTTTGATGTGCAGTCCCGAAAGCACATTGGGAAGCATGAATATAGCCGTTGAATTCATCATAAGTGAAATTTAGGTTACTTCCGGTGTTTGCCACCTGTATTGGTGCTCCGATGTAACATGACAATTGGTAGTCATGGTCATGGCGCAAAGGAACGCCGATTGTTGCAGCACAAAGTAGAATATAGCTCAAGAACAAATAAGTACATAGGCAAGGTTACCCGAGGCCGACATTGATCGACCTTGTCGACCAGGTCCGCCAATGTAGTGGGTCCACGCCACAATATCCGAAAGTCGGCTGAAATCATTTAAATCCTTGTCAGGTTTACTGAACAGAATTACGACCGACGAGGTTTCCGAGCCATTGGCTGACATAACCGCTCATGTACGGCTTTGGCTATTATGGCTTCAATGTCCTCTCCATCAGACAAATATCTTCATTACGAAAGACCAAAGCACGTAGCCATAACTCCCAACTCAGTCAAACACGATATGGGCCAAGTATTGTTGCTAATCGGAACCGCTTCAAGTGAGAAGGAAACCGCTTCAAGTGAGAACGAATTCGGAATAGCTTCAATTGGGATAAGGGATTTGTGTTATATTTTACTATGCCTTGTAGCAACGTTAAAATAGAACTCACCGCCACTCACTGTCGCTGAACTAACTTTAGTTACTCTTGGCTGACATCCATCCGGGAATGGAGGCGGGTGGCCACCGTGAGGAGGAATTGGGCTCGCTTGGAGAGGTGATATGGGCGGGAGGCGCGGGGCTCTTATGTGTTTTATGTGGGGCGTTAAAAAGCTGTCGTACTCCGATATGGCTATCGGAATACGGCAGTTTTTTTATGTAGGCAGGTAGTTGTGGGGCACAGCTGTGCCAGGGTCGTTTTTCCTTGTGGATTCGTTACCCCTTGCCCTCTTCCTTGTTCCTGATGCTATGGAGGGTGGCTGGGGCTGGTTGGGGGAGGGGTGTGTGTATGTTTCGCCTCCGTCATCGACGTGCCTGCCCTAATTGACGTGCCTGCCCTAATTCTCATGTTCCCATCCACGTGCTGCACGTGCAGCAGGCCTCGGACGATGGGGATGACGTCCAGCCGGGAATGGAGGTAAGATGGGGAGGAGGGTCAGGGCTCTTATGTGTTTTACGTGGGGCATCAAAATGCTGTCGTACTCCGATATGGCTATCGGAGTATGGCAGATTTGTTTGATGCAGGCAGGTAGTTGTGGGGCACAGCTGTGCCAGGGTCGTTTTTCTTTGTGGATTCGTTACCCCTTACCCTCTTTCTTGTTCCTGATGCTATGGAGGGTGGCTGGGGCTGGTTTGGGGAGGGGTGTGTGTATGTTTCGCCTCCGTCATTGACGTGCCTGCCCTAATTGACGTGCCTGCCCTAATTGACGTGCCTGCCCTAACTGACGTGCCTGCCCTAATTGACGTGCCTGCCCTTATTCTCATGTTCCCATCCACGTGCTGCACGTGCAGCAGGCCTCGGACGATGGGCCGACGTCCAGCCGGGAATGGAGGTAAGATGGGGGGGAGGGTCAGGGCTCTTATGTGTTTTACGTGGGGCATCAAAATGCTGTCGTACTCCGATATGGCTATCGGAGTACGGCAGATTTGTTTGATGCAGGCAGGTAGTTGTGGGGCACAGCTGTGCCAGGGTCGTTTTTCTTTGTGGATTCGTTACCCCTTACCCTCTTTCTTGTTCCTGATGCTATGGAGGGTGGTTACGTGCTGCACGTGCAGCAGGCCTAGGATGATGGGGCCGACGTCCAGCCGGGAATGGAGGTAAGATGGGGGCGAGGGTCGGGGCTCTTATGTGTTTTACGTGGGGCATCAAAACGCTGTCGTACTTCGATATGGCTGTCAGAGTACGGCAGATTTGTTTGATATAGGCAGGTAGTGGTGGGGCACATCTGTGCCACGGTTGTGTGTTTCGTTGTGGAATCTTTAGCCATGTCATGATGATAACACTACATGCTAGGAAGTGTGGCTGGGGCTGGTTGGAGGAGTTGGCATTGTATGTGTCAGCACTGTCTTTGCAGTGCCTGCTTTAATTCTCATGCTCTCATACATGTGCAGCAAGTGCAGCCAACCTCCGATAGTGGGGTTGCAGCCGAAGTTTTAATTTAGGAGGGTGGTGACAAGGAGGGGGAATGGGTTTCACTCAGGGAGGTGAGATGGGAGGGTTGGGGCTCCAGGTGTTGTATCCTGTAAGCTTACTGTTAAGCTCTAGGCTCTGTTGCCTAACTGTCATATGCCGGTCTGTCCACCCTACTGCCGCACTGCTGCAGAAGTCCATACTGGCGTCTGGGCAGGGGCTTTACCTGTCTAAAGCTGAAACCTGCCTTCCTGGATGTCTGCTTCACGAGGCGAGAGTAGTTCCTGCGAACTATGGTCAACATCAAACCACCCAGCCGTACTGGAACTTATTGGCATGAGGCCCAAGTGGATTCTAGAATGATTATTATTCAATCCACTTGCCTCAACCGGTATCTTTTGATACCACCATTTCATTGTTGTGTCACCCCCAAGCTCCCAGGCCCCCGGCTCCCAGGCCCCCAGGCTCCCAGCCTCCCTGGCCCCCAGACTCCCAGGCCCCCAGGCTCCCAGGCTTCCAGGCCCCCAGGTCGCCAGGCTCCCAGGCTCCCAGGCTCCCAGGCTCCCAGGCCCCCAGGCCCCCAAGCTCCCAGGCCCCCAAGCTCCCAGGCTCCCAGGCTCCCAGGCTCCCAGGCTCCCAAGCTCCCAGGCTCCCAGGCCCCCAGACTCCCAGGCCCCCAGGCTCACACACTCCCAGGCCCCCAGGCTCCCAGGCCCCCAGGCTCCCAGGCTCCCAGGCTCCCAGGCCTCCAGGCCCCCAAGCTCCCAGGCCTCCAGGCTCCCAGGTCCCCAGGCGCCAAGGCCCCCAGGCTCCCAGGCCCCCAGACTCCCAGGCCCCCAGGCTCCCAGGTCGCCAGGCTCCCAGGCTCCCAGGCCCCCAGGCTCCCAGGCTCCCAAGCTCCCAGGCCTCCAGGCCCCCAGGTCGCCAGGCTCCGAGGCTCCCAGGCTCACAAGCTCCCAAGCTCCCAGGCCCCCAGGCTCCCAGGCCCCCAGGCTCCCAGGCCCCCAGACTCCCAGGACCCCAGACTCCCAGGCCCCCAGGCTCCCAGGTCGCCAGGCTCCCAGGCTCCCAGGCTCCCAGGCCCCCAAGCTCCCAGGCTCCCAAGCTCCCAGGCTTCCAGGCCCCCAGGTCGCCAGGCTCCGAGGCTCCCAGGCTCACAAGCTCCCAAGCTCCCAGGACCCTAGGCTCCCAGGCTCCCAGGCCCCCAGGCTTCCAGGGCCCCAGGCTCCGAGGCTCCCAGGCCCCCAGACTCCCAGGCCCCCAGGCTCGCAAGCTCCCAGGCCCCCAGGCCCCCAGACTCCCAGGCCCCGAGGCCCCCAGGCTCCCAGATTCCCAGGCCCCCAGGCTTCCAAGCTCCCAGGCTCCCAGGCCCCCAGGCTCCCAGGCCCCCAGGCTCCCAAGCTCCCAGGCTCCAGGCCCCCAGGCTCCCAGGCCCCCAGGCTCCCAGGCCCCCAGGCTCCCAGGCCCCCGGGCTCCCAGGCCCCCAGGCTCCCAGGCCCCCAGGCCCCCAGGATCCCAGGTCTCCCAGGCTCCCAGGCCCCCAGGCTCCCAGGCTCCCAGGCTCCCAGGCCCCCAGGCCCCCAGGTCGCCAGGCTCCCAGGCTCCCAGGCCCCCAGGCCCCCAAGCTCCCAGGCCCCCAGGCTCCCAGGCTCCCAGGCTCCCAGGCCTCCAGGCCCCCAAGCTCCCAGGCCTCCAGGCTCCAGGTCCCCAGGCTCCCAGGCCC